AAGAGGGAACCCTTGCAGGCGCAGAAACAGACAGGCTGCTGCCCAGCTGCCTCGTGGCTGTTGCTTTGCTGTCACCTCTTGTGTGGCTGCTTGTTCATCCCCTGGCCCAGAGAGGGACTGAGCTGGGCTGCTTCCCGCCGCCTTGTGCCAGGTGTTCCTGGTGAGGGGGTCTCTTGGCCTCCTGCTGGGTCTCAGCTGGGCTCTCCTTGGGCTTTCTCCCTCTCACAGACTGTTTCTTTTGCACCAGGGAGTAATTGACTTGGAGGCCTTGGGAAAGAAGGGTTACAGTGTGCCCAAAGCTGGAACCATCCAAGTGGTGAGTTGTCTGTCCCCTGGCCTCCCTCAGTGCCCTGTAGAGAGGATCCCGTGGGCTCCTGTTGCCCCCCAGGGTGGATATGCTCCATTACAGTTTGGCTAGGCAGCAGGCAGAAAGCCTGTGCAGGGAGGGGACGTGGCCACCAAGACTGCACAGCAGAGGGGAGCACGGGGTCCCTGGGGTCCTGGCATGGAGGCGAGGTGGTGGGAGATGGAGAGCACGAAGATGCTGGGAAGGGATGGGGTCTTGGCAAGAGAGTGGGGGTGGGATGCGATGGGAGCACAGAGGTGGAGGTGGGTGGAACGAACCAACCTTTGGGGCTGTTGTGGGGCTTTCTGGACCCTTCAGCCTGCTGGAGCTGCCCCCAGATATCCCAGCCTTGCCCCATGGATCCATTCCTGTGCCCTTCCCAGTGTCACCCCCCACCTCTCTGCCCCCAGACCTTATTTAACCCCAACAAGACTGTGGTGAAGATGTTCTTGGTGACGTACGACTTCCAGGACATGCCAGCCAACCACATGACCTTCCTGCGCCATCGCATCTTCCTGGTGCCTGTCGGGGAGGAGGAAGGGGCCACCAGGGGCCTCGGTGACCTCCTGGGGACTGGCCCACCCCGCAGGGTCCTCTGCTACCTGATGCACCTAAGGTAGGACACACTAGGAGGGATGGGCACCCAGGGTCACCCCTGGGCTGCTCTCCCATGTATCCCTGTCCCCCCAAAACCGGCAGCCCAGAGGCCCAAGGGAGTGGCAGCCAGACCCCCTTGTCCTGGGGAGAACCTTCAGGGGTGTCAGAGCTACTGGCCAGTTGGACCAGGATTCAAAATAGGCAAGGGGGTCGTTCCCCCCGCTCTGGGTGTGTCCTGTCCTTGCCTGGGAGCCTGAGGTCCCTGTTCTCCTCTCCACTCAGGTTCCACAGCTCCAAGTCGGGGAAGATCTACCTTCACAACGACATCCGGCTGCTCTTCTCACGGAAGTCCATTGAGGTTGATTCGGGGATCCCTTATGAACTGAAATCCTTCACGGAGATGCCAAGGAACCCCTGCTACTCACCCCGGGCCTGACCTCCTCCCAGGGCCACAGGGGAGCCTCCAGCCCAGCACTTTGGGGATTAATGAGGAAAGGGTCAGCAAGCAAGCACTGCCTTGGAATATTGTCCTTCCTG